GCCTGCATACAGCCTGAAACACTACAGCCCTAAGCACGCATGGTCCCAAAACAGAGTCCAATCAGTCACGTTTACAGTGGGCAAAGAGATAAAAATCTGACTTTAATTATTCCAGAGTTTCTTAAAATACAGTCATCTTAATTGCTGAAGCATAGTACATTTGTACGTCAAATAATAATGTCTAGAGGCTGGAGGAATGAAAGCTAAAGTGACACAAGGTGACAAGGAGTAGTAGCCGATACTCTGAGTTTACAAATCATATTCCTGTTGTTTGAAAATCAGACCATGTTCTGTATATGGCAGATTGTAAAATCTGAAATACATGAGAAATGACAGCTTTCAGCAATTTGATTTTGCATGCTTGTAGAGCTAAACTTTCATTTTCCTGTGGAAAGCCATGGATTGCCTTAAGTGTGAGTGTTGCTTTGATGAGTCAGGTTACGTCTGCCCCCACCCATGGGCTGGTGGCCTGTCCCCAGGGAGATGCCCGATGCCTGGGGCTGGGGCTGCCCCAGTGCCCCTGGCTGCCCTGCTCCTGGCTGGGGGTGGGATGTGCCCTGGCTGCCCCCCCTGCTGCTCCCAGCCCCCAGGAATCAGCCAGGCCTCCCTGACACCCTAGTGTGAATTAGTCTTCCTATAATAACAGGTTATATTTGCAGACTCTTAAGTCTCTTTCTTAAATGCAGTCTTACCTTGAAACAGTGGAAGCTTACCTGGTAAGTGAGGTACAGGTACCTAATACATGTGCACGTGCACATGCTCATGCACTTCATGCGCAAACATGGCATTTTGGAATGTGTAAAAGTTACTTAATTTTCCATGCTCTTTTGTTATTTCTTGCTGATTTTGTGAGTGTTACTCCCATGTTTTATTCTGGCAGTGCTGTCTACTTGCCAGCCTACTCAGATGCCTTATTTCATAGCGGGGTACATGAAATAATTATTAAGTGCTGTTAACCTCAAAAATAACTTGAGGACAGTGAATTCTCCATTTTCAAAGGTAGGTAGCGGAAAAAATACCCATGAATAATAGTAGTGCTTGCACAGACTTTTCTAGTTGTTCTGCCTTGAGCTCTAAGGAATGGTCCTGATTACAAGAGTGAGCTTGAAAAAGGATGAGTCCATGGGCAATGAAATCCTAGATTCAGTGAATTTAATGGGAGTTTTTCTGCCTTGGTAAGAGTAGTGACAGAATTTCCATTGACCTCAGTTGTGCAGAGATTTTGTCTGCACTGTGGAGCCCCATGGCATGCAGGAGAAGGGAATCTCCATGCCCTGAAGAAAGGTTTACGAGGAAAAACATTTTCTACCTGACTCTAAGAAGTCAAATTAGGGGGAGTACAAGGAGGTCATTAGCTGCTATCCTTCAGTGAGCACCTGGTGGAAAAACTGTCCTACTGAAGCAAGTCTTTATTTTCTTGTAGGAGACAGACATGTACAATTAGTTTACTTTATTCTAATCATTCATAAGGAACAATCTTTTCTGATATAGAATCTGAATAGATCTCACTGTTTGAGAAGGTTTCTGGGCTGCTTGGTTTCATCTTCTGTTCATAGCTGTTTTCTCCTGCAGCAACTTAACAAGTATTTTCTCTGCTCAGAGTTTTGTATTATTAAAATACCTGTAGATGGCCATTTCCGTTACTTATCATTACATAATCACAGCTTAAGGGTACTGTAGTAACTATAGTAGCAGTGGCCCCTCTAGGCTTCAAAGGAGAAAATGGGTTCAGCAGTAAGTTAGTATTTTATACCTGTTTTAATTATTTTCTCGTTTTTGCATACTCTGCTTACAAGTTTCTGCCTCTATCACTGTTACACGGTGTAAGGAAGGTATGGTTGGTTTCTGTCAAATTTGTATTTGTCATTTTCTAAATCATCATTTTTCTTCAAACTCAAGTTAGAGGCAAAATTGGAAGATACTTCCTCTGAGGTGCTGTTACTGCTTACATTTCCAAGGAAAAAAAAAGTCAACTGTTTGTTTACCATCTCGGGGATGTTTCATGTATAGATTCACCACCTGCAGATTTTTAAAAGAAGGTACTTGTTTTGAAAACGTGATCCTAAATCTAAGGTAACATGAGGGCACATTGGAAAATATTGTTTAGAGGGAGTTTCTACTCCCTTGCTGTGAACTTTTCACATCTGCTAGGCAGCATTCACACTGAGGAGCATGGACTTTAAAACTGTGGTTCATACCGTAAACCACCAGTAGCTGCATGCTACACTTCTCTTATGCCAGACCCACAAAGGACATAAATCATTACTGACTATGGCTGTTCAGTTTATGCTGCTGAGACTTGTGCAGCTCTGGAGGTCCTCGGTCTAATCCTAAATGTTGACAGGTGTCAGAAGAGTTTTCTTGCACATTCTAGAAAGGAAAAGAAGTATTAGAGCAAATGTACATAAATAATTGGTATGAATAAGCTGGAACTGTTCCTCCCTGAACACTATACGATTTTTTCATTGGCTCTGAATGTTCTCAATAAATATGTAATTTTCTCTTTCCTATATGGATTTTTATTAGTTGATCTTTTTGTGGAATGGTTTGCTTCATACCTACTGTCTGAAATCTTTGGGTATTTTCTTTCCCTTTAGGAGTTTTCAGTTATTCCCGATGATATCATTGTATTTTCCCTTGAAGCGGTGTGTTCATAAAAGGATAACAGGGAGAGAAGCTGTTCGGTTTGTTATTGATTAGTGGATGTACAATCTCAATTCCCTTGGAAAGTGGGCGTGTGATTGTTTGAGTCTGTGTTTCTTTGGAGAGAGACCATTTCAGGGAATTGTAGTTAGAGCTGCAAACAATCCATTAGTCACTTGTCCAAGCCCTGCCAGGGTAATACTGTTCCCTGCAGTACATTATTGAGTGTTTTGTCCAATATCGGTTTGAGTGACTCAAGCCATGAGGCTTCCACCACTTCCTCTGAGAAACTATTTCACGGTCTGACAGAGCTCACTGTTAGGAAATATTTCCTGGTACTCAGCCTAAACTTTTTAACACCCAGATCTCATCACTGTTAGGTATACTTTTTTTGCCAGTCCTGTCTTACATCTTTTTCCTTCTTTGGCATTCACACTCTTGAGTGAATAGTAGATGGTATCATATCTCCTCTTAAGTCAAGCAAATGCATAATTAGTTCTTCTAGTCCTTCTCTCCAAATAGGCCATCTGTTTGGTGGAAAACAGGGCCGAGTATGGGAAGATTTTTTTCTAGTAAGTGCTTGTTTCAAACAAATAATATGAAAAAGTGCATTAGGAGTTCATGTGATTATGTAGCTCCAAGGAGCCCCAACTTTTATGTTAAATGTTTTTCAGAAATTAATGTAGAAGATGGTAAGTTTTCCAGGCAGTCTTTTGAAGTAGTAGTACCTTTTTTTAGCACAATATACAGCTCTAGCACTAGTAGTCTGTCACATTTCATGGCTTCAGGGAATGTTTTGTAATGTTGCTTCATCTATTTATCAAGCAAATTATATGTAGCTAGAGCCTGGAGAGGGGAGAGCAATGGCAGCAGAATTGGAGCCAGATCCAGGGGCCATTTGAATGTCTGTCATTCACAGCTTTACAGCCAGAATTTACAAGCATTTGGGTCATATAAGGATTGTTGAGGAAGGGAATGTACTTTAATTCATCCAACCAATTTCTTTCTAGTAGCCAACATCTGTTTGGTGTTTCCTTCCTTCCTGCCCTCCTGCCTTCCTCCCTCCCTCCCTCTCTCCTTCTTTCCTTCCTCCCTCCCTTCCCTGCCATATTCCACATCAGTGTCCCCTAGCCTAAGGTGGTTTTTACATTACTTACTAGAGTCTAAATTCTGCAAAGATGTATGCACATAATAAACTGTATTTTTCAAAATCTGGGTATGTGCTATTCTTATTTCTTATAGATGGTCTGCTGCTTAGTCAGAGACTCCTAGTCAGAGGAACACTTAGATTTACAAATAAGACTTCTAAACTAGCACTCCATGCTCGTTTTGAAAAACATGTAGTATGTATTTTAAGCATATGTTTATGTTTATGCAATTTGGGAGCCAAGCCCGTGTTTTGTTATTTTTTTACCTGAGATTACCTGATGCGTGTGGGTTTGTGACCCGGGCTTCCAGCTCAGGGAGTAAACAAGCTGCGTGTACTTCCTCTGAACTGTACCAGAAAGGATGCGCAGATCCTCAGGCAAGAGCATTCCTGAGCTAACTTATTACAATTTTATGAGCTAATTGAGGAAGAAAAATGCAGTGATCAGCCTAAGATCAAGTCAAGTTTGAACCAAATCAGTGGGTTCAGGTGATTAAAGTACCAATTTAATATAACAGATAATCTTAAAATATTGCACACAAATAAATGCAAAAAAGGAAAAGGCAGGTAAATGACAGTCTGCCATCACAAAAAGAAAGCTTGAATAACTCCTGCAGCTTGCTTGTTCTGTTGTTTGCTAACTGAGATGAAGTAGTGATAGATTTGCCGAAGCCCAGGCCGTGTGCTGCATCTCTCAGAAGCCTCAGGCATCTTCTTCACCTCTGGGTGGAGTGTCTGGGGCAGGCAGGGTCTCCGAGGGAGACCTCCTGGCGCAAGGGAAAAAAACACTCATCTTTTTTCTTTCCTTTCTTTTTACAGGGAGCGTTCCTCACTTTTTCTGCCTCAGAGGTGAATGCTAGGGCTTTGGGGCCGAGTTGTATGGAGTGAAGCAGGAAGGGGTGGCTGCAGTTCAGTCCCCGGTGGGTGGCACATGTCTGAGGTGAGGGTGAGAAGTCCCATCTCTGGAACGGTCCTTGCCCTTGCATTGATTCCCCCCATACATGAGGAGCAAGGTGCATGCAGGGCTTTCAGTCTAGAAGCACAAGTGGCTTTTATGTGAACAAACTCTACCCATATTTAAGGCACTGATGTTTTCCACTCCCCATGTCAATTCTGTGGCAATATTCCTCACACACGCCTGTGTCCTACTTGCTGTCTGCCAACGGTCTGATCTTCTCTGTGTTCAAGAGTGCATTCCCCTTCCGTGCAGGTGATCCAGGCTGTCTTCTTTGGGATCTGTGTCTTGACCGACCTGTCCAGTCTTCTCACTAAAGGAAATGACAGTCAAGAGCAAGAGAGGCAGCTGAAAAAACTCATTTCCCTCCGTGACTGGGTGATGGCTGTTCTAGCTTTCCCTGTTGGAGTGGTAAGTATGGTGTTAATCTGCACATGTCTTTACAAACCGAGTGAGCGGTGTTATTTACTGATTGTTTTCTGGCTGAAAGGCTTTCCCACCTCTACACAAAAGACTATGCAGAAAGGGAAGAATGGTAGAGATGATTTTACTGCTGTCTTGTTTTTCACAGGTGTAAGGGAACACTGGTGTTGCTGAAATTTTTTTTGGTTCATTAAAAAAAATGTACTTTACAATAGGAACCTAATTGTACAAGTCATTTAAAATGTGAATTGTACCAGCAGCATCTTGAGAGTCAATTTGGACTTTTTCTGCACTGTGTGTCATAGTCAGGAGTAGTGAAAGTGCTGACTGTGGCATGTTTCACACCGTAACAACCTGACTGGAGTTCGGGCTGTAAGCCATTTTGTCATGGGCAAGAAGGGAAGTGAAAGTCCAGGTTGCTCCCGGTTAATCTGATGGGGGATTCAGAGTTGACAGAAGAAATGGGGTAGGAAAAAAAGGGGGTTGTCAATAATGTAAAAAAGCACACAGAAGGTATGGAAAAATGTGGTTTTTACATGTCTTTTTTAAGAGAAAACTATTCTTTGGATCAGGTCCTGCTCCACTGGTGCGTTGCACATCGCTTTCAGTGGCAAAAGGTGCTGAGTGTCTTTACGTGTCTCATATCACACACTGAAAGCGGCTGAAAATCCAGAATTTCATGGGTTTTTACATGGAAGTGTGATCTGTGTCAGTCTAGTTCTAAGTTTAGGCTATGTTAAAAAAAAAAGTGTGAACCTTTCATTAAAGTATTGCTTTTATTGTCATTTGGGATCAACATTTAATTCTAATTTTTTTATTTCAGTGTATAGTAGTTCAAAATAAATTCACTAGAAGCAAAATTTTTTTCACAGTAGGACTACTAGAAAACTGTATGAGGTCTCTCAAGTTGTAGTGGCTCATAAAAGCTGATCACTTACTGTCAATTAACAGCAGTTAACACAACATATTTATACTTTGTTATATTCAGAGGTGCTTCATTAAAATGTGATTTCGCCATATATGTGGGATTTCACAATATGTGAAGAAGTACAGAAAGGTTTTGCACAGATAGAAAATGCAAAGCTTATGTGAAACTGTGCAGGTATTTCTTTCATAAAAACCCAGCTGGTAGCCTTCCCTTACTGTACTTGCTGGCCTCCCTCTTGGGAGCTGCCATAATTCATGTTGGGGTAACAGACTGCAATTCTCCAGCCATGGTAGAAGAAACTGGATCAACTAATACAGTTTTTAAAAAATCTGTGCATAAACAGGCTTGCAAATATGTGTTTTATGGGTGCAGAGATTTATATGTCACTGTATTTTGAGGGAGATTGGGAATTAGAAGTAGTTGTAATTGTGATTGTCAACAAATACTTTTCCTACTGTGTTGATAGGAGAAGTGAAGAAGGAGAACATCATCACATTTGTCTTCATTTAAAGTTTTTAAGTGCCTTTTTCAATCTAGAAGTGTAAGCCTTTACATGCATCAAAGCACACCCTCTTTGGCTCTCTCACGCCACTCAGGGTTCAGGGATTCTCTCCTGCCACTGTTGTAGCTCCATATTGTTGTCTGTGTGCTCCTCCACCCCTGCAGTGTTCCTGACCTTGAAACTTTTCAAGGTCTTGTAGAATTTCAGCTTTGCTTTGTCTTGGCAATTCTGCGCTTTTCTTTCAGGTGTTGTTTCTCTTTGCCACTGGTAAGCAAGGAGCCCCAGCTAGCCATTGCCTGCACTAGAAGTGCTGTTGCAACATTTACAAGTTAGCAGTTCTGAGAGGCTTGTTGCATACCTGGAGCTAGCTACTTTCCCAAGGGTTTCGTACAGAAACAACTTCTGTCTTAAACAGCAACAACAAAAAAATCCAGAAAATAGTAAGAAATGGCCATGCTCATTGGACAGATGCTCTCCATTTCCAGAGGTGACCTTTTTGTGGTGAGGGGGAGCAATTGATTACCACATCTTATTTCACTTTACTTCCTACAGAGAAAGCCTAAAAAGCTTGTTTTCATTGTTGTTTCTTCTCCTGGCTACTGGGAGACAAACAGCAGCACTTCATAACTTAACACTGGTCTCAGCTCCTTCCTGAAACCTGATCCTCTCCAGCAGCGCCCACTGCACCACAGCTACCACTTGCCAAAGCCTTGGCCAGTGCCTGAGGGACTGCCAGCTACTGGGGGCTCTTCTTCGGTGGGATTACGGGTAGGAAAAGTTCAGGGCCCGAAAGTAACAGATGTCTAACGCTGGCTTTGTTCTCTAAAGAGCTATTTACGTGTAAGAAAATACCCGGTGAAATTTCGGTATGCCGGAGGTGCTTGTTAGAAGGAAGTTATTAAACACTAGAGTGTCTGCACAAAAAAAGTTAAAAGTTCCCTCGTTCCCCATATTCTCTCAACAGCTTCCTCACTCAAAAAAAAAAAAAAAAAAGAGAGAGAGAACAGAAGAAGTTCAAATGCAGACTTTCTTTCTTTGAGACTCACCCACCTAGCTCTCCATGGAGCTTCTCAGTGGTTTCCAGCAGCGACACAAGGGAACCTTCACACATAAAAATTGGATGGATGTGAATAAAATCCTTGTTGGGTTTCTAATGTAACAGCAGTGGTCATGCTTAAGTACTTGTCAGTTACCTTAACATCTAAATTATTTTTATTGCTGAGTGTTTTACACAGGGCATGTTTAGGGAATAATGCAAATACTAGGGGAACATTTTAAAGCCCACTAACTGTAGTTTTTCAAGAGCAATTCAACACAATTTTTTCTGTATTTCCTGCATACTGAAGCCCTCGAGATGACTTGTTCTGAAAAACAGATGAGAAAAGGGGTTTCCATTCCCAAGTCAAACAATGATGCGTGAAAAAAAAAATGTAACAAAATAAAGTATTTCATTTTTAGTACTTCCTAAAGAAGTATTACATATAAACCACCTGGGAAGTCTGACCACCAACCTCTTCCCACCTTCCAAAGGAGGGAAAAGAACCAGCCCAAGGGCAAACAATCTCCTTGGGTGGCTTTGCAACAAATCAAATCTTGCAAAATCTTTGCAGCAAATCACATCTCTCCAGTGTTGTGTTATGCATGTGTATCTTTGGGGGCTCAGATAAAACTGAATTGCCAACCTACCATTTTGTTTAGGAGCATCAAGAAGTAAACATGAACCTCTTTGAAGGACATAATGACTACTGTTTACCTATTGTTGCTCTTTTTAATACAACTCTTAAGAGAATGAAATCAGAAAGCAGCAGACCAGTTTTCTATACAGTAAAGCCTTATTCCACGAAAAGTCTGTGGGCAACACTTCCTAGCCCTTTTTTAGTTTATTGTAAGCCTGGGGTACTGTTCAAATGCCTAAGAGATCAGGAAGCATCCACTGAAGAAAAATGCTTGCATAGACGTTTTAGAAGTTCATTACCAATTCTCATCTATACTGGCTGCACTTACCTCCCCTTTATCAGTGTAAAGGAGATTTATATTGGGAATAATTTACACTGCTAGAGAAGTGTGAGACATGCTTAGAAGTCAGAGACTACACCAGTGGTTTAGACTATCCCTACTTTTTTCTCTTTCTTTGATATAGACCATGAAGTTGCCAAGTTTCTGTGGTTAATTAGTGTTTTGTGTAAACTGTATGTGGTTTTATCAATATGTTTCTTGTAATTTGTACCAAACAAGAGGAAGAAGAGATAAAACAGGCATTTCTAGTTGTTTAAGGCTGTGTTTAATAGAAATAGGAAGGAGAAAGAAAATTGATATTGTTACATATTAGAAGAGAGATTGCTGCCTAGAAAATCACAAACTGATATTTTATATCATGTAGCTTTAATAGCTCCATTCGGGTCTGAGTCTAAACTGGCTAGAATGATCTCATATTCTTTATATTATACTTTTATGTTTTTACTGTGATACGAATGAGAGAAAGCCAGGCATGCTTTCTTACCTCTTGTTTCTCTGTACTGGTACAGTCAAAAGGAAAGCTGATCACCCTTCTTCTGTAGATCATCAATAATGCTGATCTGGGATCTTATCCCAAGAAAAGATGCATAGGCATTTGCTGCAGTCTCCTACTTACCTCATTATTTGACCAGACTACAAAATACTTTTACTTCCATAACTACTTGACCATGCCAAAATCTCTCTATTCTAGATTTTGCCTTCCTCTGTGGTGACGTGGTGGCTGTTAACGGGAACCTGAGTGAGCAGTGGTGCAGTTGCCTCCTGAACTCTGTTCTCCGAGGGGAGTCTTCCCTGATTTTCAGTTCCCACTCCTTGTGATTTCCTTCATTGTCCTTTTTCAAATTCATTCAGTGTAATGCTATGCTAGGACTAGATCCCACCTAAAGCCAGTACCATGCCAATTTGTGCTTACTGTGGTCTGCCTTTAGTAACACTTTGCTTCTATATGTAATGCCTTTAACCCTCAAAGAGGCTCACAATGTATTTATACTCGCAGTTAACCACAAATGTCTTGGGAGATAGCCAGAAATCTTACCTTTAACTGTACTTAGAAGAAATTTTGTCAAAGGTTTTTTTTTTCTTTGTCATGAGGCCTTCCAGGAAATGAGTGAACTGAACTGTGCAGCCCAGCCAAAAACAAAAACACATACTGCAGGAAAATAAAGTTCCACTGGGTTTATTCTTCGTTTGCATAACATTTCTTGGTTGGGCTCATGTAAAATAGCAAATTATGCAATTCTTTTCACTGGCTTTCCTCTCATAGTTTCTTTTTGCTTCCATTTGTGGTGTTTTGATAAAGCCACTTGTTTTCCCTTTTGAATCACCAACTGTTTCCCAACTTGTCCTTTAAAATTTTTCCCTTGGCAGTGCCACATGCTCTTCTCATGTCCTCTGAAGCTTTAGAGACAGAGGACAAAAACTCAAGGAATATGTCCTTAAGTGGGAAAACAGAGTTTAGTTTTCAGCCTTATTTTTTTCCTGCTGCTATTTGTTTAGCAATACTTTAGATGCCTGTGACAAGTGAGCTACTCCCTATTTTCAAACAGTTTCCAAGGCCTCTTGCAAATTTGAGGTTCCCTTTGGTCTGTAATGACCCTAGATAGGATAAGTAGCAAATGAGAGACTCTTCTGTTCTTTTATATGTTCCTTAACCTTATGTTTAACCAAGTAATTTCTGTCTTTGGAAAGCTGCCAATCTTAGGAGGCTCCTGTGCAAAGAAGTGTAAAAGCAATTGCTGATGCCTGTTTTCTTCCTTGAATTCCAGGCCTTGAGTTTGTCTAAGGAGGAAGTGGAAGGGTGACATTTGGGCCATTTTGCCTTGGGAACAAAAGAAAATAGAAGTATTGGGCTTCCTGAAATATGTCTGCTGCATATGAGCAGCTTGTTCAGACTGGCATGTGAGGGTAGTACCATGACTGTCTCCACAACAGTGATGAATTGTGCCACAAGGAAGGCAGCATGAGCATAAGAGCTGCAATTCTGATTGAGCCTTACATAGGCAGTGTAAAGAAGCAGCTCAGTTGTATCATGGTCTGGCACTGCATGACCATGTGTGATCTTGGCAAAGCCCAGCCCAAATAAAAGTGTGCCAGTACCAAAGTGTAAGCATAGTAGAGGTGATTTAAACTTAACCAGATGAGACCAAACAAATTCAGAAGCAGCCAAGGTAGCTGAGTAGCAGGTCCTCATTATAGTTCTTTTTATCCAAATAGTTCATTTTTAAAGTTCATTTTAGTCCATAGTCCAATAGTTCATTTTAGTTCATAGTGCAATAGTTCATTTTTATAGTTCATTTTATCCAAATGAACTGATTGTAAGGAAAGGTAAGGTGAACCGTTCAGACACTGGAAGGGATCTTCCCCAGGGCATTGCGTTAGTCTCATGTCGGGTCATCCTCCGGGATAGGTTAGTTCTGTAACACCTTGTGTTTTGTGCACTTCCTTTACCTTATGTCTGCCTTGTGATAGTGCTTTGCTAAGCAGCATTTGCCGTCTGTAGCTCCAGATGGTTGCAACCAGCTAGGCTTGATCCCGTTCCATCCATTGGCTGACTTTGGTTAAGGGACAGATGGCATGTCCCCTCTTTTCTTATCTTTACCTCCTTGGCAAAGTCTCTTGTTTTATTCTGCTCCACACAAATATCACAGGTCAAAACGTGGCAGCTTTGTTGTATTCAGTGTAATAAGGTTCAACCTAATCCTGGTTGATTTTTCTTGCTGTAAGACTTCCTTGGAGAAAAGCATTATCATCTTGGTCTTCATGTGCCTGAGAACATGTTTTTATGTCCCAGTTGGTCTTAGCAGGTTCTCAGAGACCCACTGTGATAATACATGACTTCTAGGAAGCCTATAGAGAAGAGGATACTTTGCTTCCATTTTCCCTGCTGTTCAGCTATTCATATCTTGGCACTTACATGTCAGCAGGTGCGTAAAGAGCTAGGCTGTGCCAATGCCAAGACTGGCCCAGAAGAGAGACTTCTTGTGGGGTACTTTACACTTGCAATATTTTTCGGGCTGTCCATCATAACCTATTTTTTTTTCTGGCCTCTGTGTGCTAGTCAAATAGTCCAAGCTTATTCTGAGCAGGCACTGATAGCTATCGTAACAGATGGACAAGTGTGTTGGAAAGCAAGAAACTATGTACTGTATGCACACTGAGGGAACAGTGTACTGGTTCAGGTCATTCACATAACTGGCTGGCCGATGTCTGCATGTCTGTGGTTAGAACAAGGTGCCATTGATAAACTGCAACCTCAATTTTAACTTTCCAAAGTCAGAAGCATATGAAACAACTTACACCTACGCTATCACACACACTAGTAATTTGGTGACCTTGCTGTGCTCACCCCATATTTCTTGCACTTTCTTTTACTGACACCCCAAATTAGCTGTAAGATCATGGGCCACATTGGTTGGATGTAACCGAATACTTCCCTGCTGATCTCAGTGAAAGTTTTACCTGTTGCCTCTCAAACTTTAAACTTGGACTTGTCACTGCTGTGTAGAGATCCCCTGAAAATGGTCATTGAAAAGCTCCTGGCCCAGGTATTGGGGTTTTTTATTGCTGTAGACAATAAGCCTTTTATTACTAGAAAACTGTGACTCAAATTCAATGTAAGAAAGCAATTGTGTTTTAATTAGAAGATTACTTACTTTGTTCTTTTCCCAGGTAAAGGTAAGCTAAAACTATTATTTCTGTAAATTTCTGCCGTTTTATATTGTCTTTGCTTTTCAGACATCAGGGTATCTTTAAAGAATTTGTGTACACTTTGGCAAAAATTTAGCGTAGTGCAAACTTTATCTGAGCCATCTGTCCTGTCCTCAGTCTAGAGGAAATAATGGTCTTTCTCTGGGCTCATGGTAAATAGTCTCTGACAAGAACCAAGCCAAATTTCATATTGACAAACAAGCAGGATACTAGACCTGTTCTCTGTGGATCCCAGTCCATGAATTGTGTGCAGAGTAGTTAAAGGGTTAAATATATATTTTTTTTAGCCAATGCTATTTTGATGGCTGACATGAAAAAGTGCAAAGATGAGTTTATAGGCTTCTGTTCGGGGGTGAATGTTTCATATTTATACGTTCTATGAATTCCAAGTGATATTTTACCTCATTTTCCATTTGTTTTCTATCCTGTTAGTGGTGAAACATTATTTATGTGCCACATCTGCTACTAAAGTATAGTACTCAGTTGTAATTTGGCCACAGGTATGTAAGTCAAAAAAATGAGATTTTTTCCAAGCTGAAAGTCAGAAAAAAAAAAAAAGAAGAAGAAGAAGAAGAAAAATTAAAACTCTTGTGAATGCAAAGAATAATCCAGATTCACACTGTTGATTAAAGCAGGATTTGGTCAAAGAACAATAATGTCTGTGTCTGTCCATAGATCATTTGCTAACTGCCCCCATTTTGCTATCTAAAATGTGTAGCTAAATGTTCAGAAGCATGTATTTTAAAATGTCTTTTCTTTCTTTTCTCTTAGTTTGTTGTGACGATGTTTTGGAGCATCTATATCTATGACAGGGAACTGGTTTACCCAAAGCTGCTTGATAATTTTATACCAGCATGGCTAAATCATGGAATGGTGAGTAAAGTAATGCAAACTCTTCCTTGCATAAACAAAAGTGTAAGACACTGATTTCCCTGTGCGTGACTCCGCATACACTTAGAGCTAATCCCCTCAGAAGTGATTAAGGAACATTGTTTGCAAGCAAGAATAACATCTTTCCTCCTTGACTCCTTGAGTCATATTTGAATCCCTATTAGGTTGAAACAGTGGACATTTGAACTTGTGTGTCCTGTATCCCAGGCTAGTTGTGGGGATCGGCTGTTTTCTGTGATAAGGTACCTTTCCCAGAGCAATGTCACCCTGGTCATGAGGAAATTTAATCAAAAGAAACTTCCACAAAACATAAGGTCTGACTTTGACAAGTCTTGCTCTAAAATGACAGAAACACTTAATTGAATGATTCTTTACCATTCTACCAAAGTGTAATTTGTGATGAAAACATTTTGGTTAAAATGCTTGTTCAAAAAATCTCACTATGCTATTTAGTCTTGTATGTTTTTAGAGAAAAAATGAAATAATTACTCATTTCTCAAGTACACCAGACTTGTTTAGCAGAACCTGTATCTGCATATTTTTAGTAATGTGGAATTACATGCATCAACACCAAGTTTCAGAATTGCTGCATCAGTAATCATAAAAGTAGTTTCTTGAGAAGAAATCTGACCTTTTCATCCCTCTCTGGTATGTCAAGTCGGACATTCTTTCTCTCAACTATATGTTTAAATGCTAAGGGAAAGATAAGGCCACACTTTGCCATCAGATACTTACTACTGTTTATGCAGCATTTGGAGCTGAAAAGCATCTTGTTTGCTTCTCTAGTTGTGTCTGTGCAAAATGTTTCATTACTACTTTGTTTTCCATATCAAGGCATGGCCAACCATTTGCCACTGCTGCTCATCAGCAGATGACAGCAGAGCTCATCCTTCATGTGTGAGTACTGTGTCTCTAGAGCAGATCAAGATTTGTCCACTACTACTGGCCTTGATAAATTGGTCCTTTGTGGGGTGGGGTAGATGGTACTGCTATTTATTTTTTCTGTAGATTGTGTATTAAAGGAGCAGTATGAGAGTTACTACTGACAAGAGGAGCATCAGCTTCTGCTAGATACTCTACTATTTTACAATGTTTTGAAAGAATCAGCATGATATTATGAGCTGAGGAAAGAGTCTGATGACTCCTGCTGTGTTTGTTCAGACTGTCCTCCCTTGAGTTTTGAGGTTACAAACTGAACATTTGCAAACGCTGCCAAGCCATACATACATCGATTTTTTTCCCCACACCACATCAGTGCCAGCTCTGATGACATTTCTTCCAGGTGGCATTCCACATACTGAAAGTGCCTAACCTGTAACATTTTTCATGAATGTACATTGTGAAGCAGTTGACAACAAGTGGCCCTATGTATTCAGGAAGTCTCCTTTGTGCCATAACTAAAAGACAATTCAAGCTCATGTTGATCTGTAGAAACGTATACTTACTGAAATATTTGAAGAGGGCTTTTTTTTGAGATTTGTGGACAAAATAGAGTTTGCTGAAATGAATTGCGTGCTAGCATCTTAGACATTTTTTTTTCAACTTGAAATATTGTAGAAGGCATTTCTTAAAGTCTTTTGTAAAGGAATTGTTTGCTGTGTCAGTGTGCATTTATCCAAGTGTTCCTTTAGCTCGGTCACAGAGAAAGCTTATGGCTGTTGGGCTTTTCACCACCTCTCAATCTAATCCTTTCTGATGTTTTAGCCATTATTTTATCCTCACCAGCTTTCATACTAATTCATTCTGATGCATTTCCCATCATAATATGAAGGAGTTCTTAAACTACCTTGAGAATACTAGCACCTCCCTTAGCAGTAGTTACAATTTTGACATGGCAGATTTTAGAGAATATGATAGACGTCCCCTTGGTGAAAGGGTAGGGCCTCTGGCAATACAGTTTTAGAGAAGTTGGGATTCCTGGCTATTGTTTTTTACTGAAATAAACATCTATTCCCATCTTTTCCTGCACATTTTGACAGCAGCTGTGCACATTCAGTGATAATTTTTCTGAACGCAATGGTGGCTGTGCTGGAGCCTAACCTTGTACAACAGAACTCACACAAGAGATTCATCACCCTTGGCAGAGTGAAATCTGTCACTGAGAGGTGGGTCCTTTAACTAGTGCAGCATTGCTGATGAATCCCTCTGCTCTGTGAGCTTCCCCCGCAGTGCCTGGTGCAGCACCTAAGGGTCTGAGCTCAAATGCTACTTCACCTGTGAACGCTCTGTCCAGGTTTTTTTCACAGCAGTTTCCCTAAACACATATTTGTCACCAAAAAAGCCACAAAAAGGGGAAAATGTAAAACTATATATTTTCCATAGTAAAAAGATTCCCTACTTTAAATGAAAAGTTGTATTTTCAAAAATTTCTGACAAATGTATTATGACCAGCTGTAACAACTTGCTCAACTGTCAACATCAGCCTGCAAAATCCACATGTAGAAAAGGAATGGAAAGTCATGAAATCTGGCTGTAATAATAGCAATCATATTTCCATTGGTAATATGGACATGTATCAAAATATTTGAGAATATTCATACTCCAGAAGCATTTTCAGGTGACTGTCTTGAAGGCTGTATGAAAAATTTGTTTGAATGTCTGGTCTGATTCAGTGTATTAGCCCAAGCAGAATTAGTTTGGGCAGCAGTGTCTGCTGCTTTGTTAGGTTATAATAATTAGTTCTTATCCTCCTTTTTCTTCTCCCCCTTTCCCACCCCTTCTCTGCAGTTACGGTGTTATCTATAGTTAAAAAAAACTGTTTTCTTGAATACGTGGTAATGTCTTGCTAATACTCAGAGATGTCACTCTTTCATAGCAACACCTTTTCAACATCTAGAAAATTCCTAATTATAAAAATTCCTCTCTAGAAATGGAAAACATAAGGGAAGTGAACTTCAGAGAATTGCAATCGCATTATCAATTCAATCTTAATATTGTTTATAAAGTTTTGTAGAAATGGAGAGGCTCATCATTGTGCACAAAGATAAAAGCCACAAACTATTTACCATAAAATTGCATATAGTGTCAAGAACTGTATTTCTATTATACATACATATATATATATACACACATATACCATAATAGTTAAAAATATAATTCCTGTCTACAGAAAAATATGTGTAGTAAGTGGTGCCTTGTGGTACCAGATGGTACCTCGTACATACAGATTCATGCACCTATGAAAGGCATCGCTAATAGAGTTGTACTGTGCCATAAAACTGATATATTTCATCATCTCAGTCAGTCGATTCATCCATAACCAATGGTATCACTGTGGCTTGAGAAATGACATGGGGAAATCAATGGCAGGGTTGCTGTTGATTCCAGCAGGATAAGGATTTCATTTTTGTTAATTATGTGAAGGAGCACATCTGAGTAGCTGAGGTTAAGCTTCTGTCAGTAGAAATAACTACCTGTCTAGAGAGCTGTTGGAGAATAGGTCTATGTCTCAGCTTTGGTCTATTTCTGAAGTGTCAGGTTCACTTCCTGTATTTATTAGTTTTGCAGATTAATTCCTTTGTGGCTACAATTTTAGTTGCCAAATTACCGAACTCTTCCATCAAAGATGTTATTCATGTTCTTGAGACTGTCCTGCACTCTGGATCCATATCAACCCTTAATTCCACAGGCATGTTTTCCATGGGAAATATTGTTTCCCATTTTCTGATGGCTGTCTGTTGGATCTTTTATCAGTATTAGGAATTTTTAATTAAAGGCTAACCTTTAGTGTTTAAAACTAGTGTGTCATAGTAATAGGATTTTTATCAGCTCATTCGTTGCACCTTTTTGTGTTGGGACTGGACAGAGGATGATGCATGGATAACGTTTATTTCCAGAAGTTGTATTCTCTTTAATACTAGCACAGACTATAAAACTAGAGGTTGCCCCTATTCTAACCAATGCCCACATAAACAGATATGTAGACTGAATTAATTTAAGCTTGAGCATTGCTGATTTTCAGCCAGGTTACATGGCAGGACTGTGTGCAGTATCTGTCCAAGTTAGCATACCATTTTAGCGAGAGTCCTTTGTTTTTCACACACACTGTCCCAAATTCTTTTTAAAAAATGTGAATCATCTTTTGTTTGCGGCAAGGAAAGTAAAATACAGAGATAGAAATTACTTACTGAGGAGCTTAATGGCTTTGGAGGTCAGCAACAAAGAATTGTCTTCATATGAAAACTCTAGAGGATAGGTCAGAGAAGGGGGAAGGGGAATATGCTCTGCCACTGTGGAGTTGGAAAATTGATGATTGTATGGGTTCTGTGCCACTACAATCTATATGAGCTCTTCCAGTTTTGTACTCTATTCTTTTTATGCTGCTTTTGGGAAACAAAGGTGTTCCTAGAAAGACATACCCTCTGTCCTTTTATTCAAGAGAGTGCACAAAAACTGAGACAAATAGCAGATGAAGACAAGTTATGGAGAGGAAGGAGCCTGTCCAAGTGATACCTCTCTACTTATTTCACAGGTTGGCTCTCTTTTTTTATTGCTGGCTGCTCAGCTGAAAAGCTCAGCCCGCTGGGGAGTAGTACAGAGTACCCCCGGCCATCTCCAATTGTTCTTCATGGCAGCCTTGTCATAGGTCCAGTGGCTTTGGCTTGTTTGTTCCTTTGTTTTTCTGGTGGAGAGCTTTTTTCCTTGATGATTGACAAATAGAAAAATAGAAAAGCCATGCAAATATCAAAATTCATAGTAACCTGACATATAAAGATTGGAAGGTCCAAAACTGGTGAGTTTTTTGACAAACACATCTGTCCATCATTAGTTGGGTCAGTTGCTGCACAGTGCTCACTCTGATATACAAACAGTGAGATGCCCTTTCTTTCAGCAAAGTGTTTCCATCTAGCACGTTGCCCTAAAAATCCTTTTCAGAAATTACTCGTTTGAAACAGTGCATTGTACTTCTTGAGGATGCTTTCCTAATACAGCAACATCCCGTGTATGGGCTACTTATGTACAATGTACTGCATCTTGGTAAT